TCATCTCTCTCTCATCTCTGTATCTCTGTATCTCTCTCTCTCTCTCTATCTGTATGTATGTATGTATGTATGTATGTATGTATACATACAGATACACAGATAGATAGATAGATAGATAGATAGATAGATAGATAGATACACACACACACACACACATCCGTTCCTCCCTCCCTCCCGTCATCTCTGTATCTCTCTTTTTCTTTCTCTTTCTTTCTCTCTTTCTTTCTCTGTCATCTCTTTCTCATCTCTGTATCTCTGTATCTCTGTATCTCTGTATCTCTCTCTCTATCTGTATGTATGTATGTATGTATATACACAGATAGATAGATAGATAGATAGATAGATAGATAGATACACACACACACACACACAGATATATATATATATATCCCTCCCTCCCTCCCTCCCTCTCCAAATCTAAAGAGATTTTTTTCGGCCTAACATTCGCTCTTATCAAGAGCCAACATCCCAAGATCTAGCCAAAATGGACATTCAATTCATACAGGCAGAGAGGGATGCTGTATACAATTTCACCCAACAGATCCGTATCCATAACCTCGTTTTCCTACTGACTGAGGGCTAGACGTTGCCATTGCTTTTGGTTGCAAACAAGGCCACCTCAAGAACACAGGCTACAAAACTTTCCAAAGCTGTGGGGAAATTCAAAGACAATTCATCGCAAATTTCCTCCTGTTTTCTTCCCGAGTTGTGACGTTTGCACTAATAACCTTAAAGGAAAAAAATACGGGTCGTCCTCAACTTACAGCTGTTCATTTTAGTGATCGTTCACTACTTGATATAAATACTTTCCAAAAAAAATTGGTAGACTACGCGTCATTGGGTGACCATTTGAAGTTAAAATGGCACTGAAAAAAAAAAACTGACTTTTGTCCGGTTTTTTTTTTTCTCACACCGATGAGCGTTGTGGCATCCCCATGGTCATGTGATCAAAATTCAGCCACTTGGCAACTGACTCATATTTATGACGATTGCTTTGTCCCGGGGGTCATGTGACTCCCTTTTGCGACCCTTTTGACAAGCGAAGTCACTGGGGGAAGCCAGATTCACTTAACAACCGTGTTACTAAGTGAACAACTGAAGTGATGAACTGAAGAATTGCGGCAAGAAAGGTCGTAAAACGGGGCAAAACTCCCTTAACGAATGTCTCGCTTAGCAATGTAAATTTTGGGCTCGGTTGTGGTCGTAACTCAAGGACTGCCTGTGGACTTTTACTGCCTGTCGGTCCATTGCTCTGGGATCCTTTCTTGCTGAACAATGCCTTAAAACACGTGAAATAAACCTAGAGAAAAATCAAGCTGATTGAGGAGAATGAGGATGCTCTCCAAACTCATTCCCCTCGCTCAAAAGGAAGTCGGAAATTATTCTTGCAAGGGTGACAAGCAGACTTCCTCTTACCTGTTCCGGGATCTGGAATTCTCTCACTTTCGACAGGAAACTGGATGAAAACCTGCTCATCATCTTCTTCTTCTGGATTGGAAGCCAGGTCTGGTTTGGGCACCAGGAGTCCCTCTTAGGATTCAAGACAGAGGGAGACAGAGAATTATTTGGGGTACCAATTCTGGAGAATTCTTCGCTTCCCAGGCCCATCATTCATTTCAGTGAGGTCTCTATCACTTCAATTAGGTTTTTTTTTTAACAAACTGCATCGCTGTTTGGTTTGGTGGCAGCTGTGCCTCAGATAGAAAGCCCCTACAAAGAGTGGTAAGGACAACCAAGAAGATTATAGGACACTCGCTTTCCGTTATTCAGGATACTGCTTATAAGCGCTACATGTGCTTAGAGCTTGAAGGATTGTTAGAAACCCCATACACCCACGTCACGGTCTGTTTCTGTTGCTCCCACCTCAGAGGAGGTTTCTAAATATTTCTATTGGACTACCAGATTCTGTAACAGCTTTGTTCCCTGCGCCCTCCCGGTCTGGTAAATTTGCAAGATTCGTCTCTTTCGCTATGTACATGCATACATCCGAACTAGACTGTTGTTTCTCTGTCTGTAATAGACAGTATGTGGGTATATGCATAATTTTGTATTTATTAATTCATTTAGTCATGTTTATGTAATATACATTGGAGGTAGTGAGCCTCTGAGAGCTGTATGCAATGAAATTTCATTTTAATGTATGCCGATAAGTATACACTCAAAGTGACAATAAAGTTATTCTATTTATTTATCCATCATCTATCTATCTATCATCTATCGATCTATCAATATCTATCATCTATCGATCTGTCGGTCTGTCTATCATCTATCTATCAATCGTCTAGCTATCTAGCTATCAATCATCTATCAATCATCTGCGGTGACGCAAGTGGCTAGAGTGCGGTACTGCAGGCTACTTCTGCTGACTGCCGGCTGATTGCAATTTGGCAGTTCGCATCCCACCAGGCTCAAGGTTGACTCAGCCTTCCATCCTTCTGAGGTGGGTAAAATGAGGACCCAGATTGTTGGGGGCAAGAGGCTGACTCTGTAAAACCGCTTAGAGAGGGGTGGGAAGCACCGTAACGTGGTATAGCCATGGTGAACAGGCGGCAATACAAATCTAATAAATAAATAAATATAACTGTTCTTTCTATTATCTATCTATCTATTTATCTATCTATCATCTATCTTATCTATCATCTATCTTATCTATCATCTATGTATCTATCTTATCTATCTATCTTATCTATCTATCATCTATATTATCTACCAATCTATCAATCAATCATCAATCTATCTATCTATCATCTATCTATGTATCTATCTATCTATCATCTATATTATCTATTATCTATCAATCTATCTATCTATCATCTATCTTATCTATCATCTATCAATCCATCTATCATCTATCTTATCTATCATCTATCTATCAATCATCTATCTCATCTATCTATCATCTATCTATCAATCATCAATCTATCTAACATCTATCTATCTATCTATCATCTATCTATCTATCTATCTATCTATCTATCTATCTATCTATCTATC